GCTAGCACCTCTCGGGATCTCTCTTTCCTCTGAATCGTGGGGATCTGGGACCCACGGGTCTTCGTCGTCTCCCAGATGGCAGATGACACCAGGTGTGACAACTGGAAACGCTGCACAGGAAAAGGACATCCGTTGGTTCACGGGAGATTTCTCACACAAACAATTCTATTTTAACCCCAACTTATTTTGAAATAGGAATATGCTGGGGCAAGCTCCCCAGATGCTCAAACCTGTAGGACGTTCTGCTTAAAGAGGGATTGAACTAAGCCCATCTCTGCTGGGAAAACACACCGTCTGCCCGACAATCCTCCTCAAAGCGGGGGCCTAAAACACAGAGACTTTAACGCCAGGGCCTAGAAAGTGACGCTTGCCGCCAGCAAGGAAAACACCTGCTTCTTTCTGAGAAAGAGAGTTCCAGAGAAAACCCGAGTCCTAGGGAAGCTGGGAGCAGTCAGCATGGGTTGGTGGGGTTCAGAGGACGACGCAAGAAGCGGGAGTGGAATAAGGTATCTCAGCTGCATTAGATGTCGGGAAAGCACATTTTGAGGAACTAGGGAATCTAGGTAGTCCGGCGTAATGGGAAGGAGGACGAAAATGCCCCAGGTGTGGAGAAGGCTGGGGAATTAAATGCTACAATCCAGGAGCAACAGACTCTAGTTTCTCTGGAAAAGGAGACTATGAAGAACCGGAATTGGGCCAGGTGACCTCAGGAGGGACTGACTCCAAGCTCCAAGAAGCCTGCAGGGAAGAGAGATTGAGGATGCTGCAGATAGGGAGGGGGAAGTATGATTTTCTGAATCCCCAGGATCACTCCCAACCTAGGACATCTCCAAGAAAGTCCACTTTTTCTTTCTTTCTTTTTTTTTTGCCAGGGAAGGGGTCACCTTGTGGCTGGGAGGAATGTGAGGAGTGAAAAATCATGCCTGGGGTGAAGGTAGGCAGGGATGAGGTGACAGTGGGGGGTGGGGCACTTGGCAAGGGAGACAGAACAGTAAAAATGAGAATAGTTGAAAAAAATGACATAAAATAAAGTGCAAGTAGACAGTCCTAAGAGTGGAGCCATGGAGTGCCGCCCCTAAATCAGCGAAGGCCGTGTGGGGACGCTGTGATAACAGGCCCCTGCACCAGAAATTCACCATGTATCGGAGTGTGAGCCCTACCCCTGATAGCTTTCAGACAAGGTGTGTTACACATTTTTCGTGCACTCTGCAGGAATTCCTCTTGGGAAGTTTGCTCAGTGATACTGGGCTACGAGCAATTTTTTTTTCAAGTGCTCGAACGTCCACGTGCAGATTCTGGCCTGGTCTGCTCTTTAAAATTTGGCAGCATACCTCCCTCAGTCAGCACATGTCTCACGGTTACGGGTGTGAAGAATCCCACCCTTAGTCAACAGAGTTATAACAGCAAAACCTCCAGTGTAGACACAGTCAATTCACTTCTTTAACACAGAGTTAAGGTTGCCCAGTGCTGCCGTGAGCCCTTCCAGAACATGGATGGTGACTAAAATTAAAGCTCTGAATACCAGGAAACCCACCCACAAAGTTCATCCCACCCCTGCAACCTTAACTCTAGGTAACCTTAACTCTACCCCGTCCCCTAACCCTGGAGCTGCCATTAGCCACTGGCTATGGGTCAGTCAGGGTAGTGCAAAAATTAATAAACTACCAAGGAAATGGAGGATTTTCCTTCTCTCAGAGTCTTCAAGTCCAGACCGGATGCCTTTCTGGAAGATGATTTCGTCCAACACAAGGTATTCAGCTTAACATGACAGTAACTGGATGATATTCTATGGTCTGTGTGATACAGGAGGCCGGAGTAGACAACCTAATAGTCCCTTTGGGCCATAAACTCCATGAATTTATAATAGAATCCTAGAATCTCAGGGTTGGAAGAGACCTCAGCAGGTCATCTAGTCCAACCCCGTGCTCAAAGCAGGACCAACCCCAACTAAAACATCCCAGCCAGGGCTTTGTCAAGCCGGGCCTTAAAAAACCTCTAAGGAAGGAGATTCCACCAACTCTCTAGGGAACCCATTCCAGGGCTTCACCACCCTCCTAGTGAAAAGGTGTTTCCTAATATTCAACCTAGACCTCCCCCACTGCAACTTGAGACCATTGCTCCTTGTTCTGTCATCTGCCACCACTGAGAACAGCCGAGCTCCATCCTCTTTGGAACCCCCCTTCAGGTAGTTGAAAGCAGCTATCGAATCCCCCCTCATTCTTCTCTTCTGCAGACTAAACAATCCCAGTTCCCTCAGCCTCTCCTCATAAGTCATGTGTTCCAGCCCCCTAATCATTTTTGTTGCCTTCCGCTGGACTCGCTTCAATTTGTCCACATCCCTTCTGTAGATGAGGAAGGACTAAGAGAACATGTCATTGTTTGTGTTGTGTTCACAGACGGGAACACCAGCATTTATCTGCCTGCCCCCAGCTGTGTGCACTGGGCCAGCTGTAGCTGTAGCTGGATGATGGAGGGATTAGTTGGAGCAGCCTGGCAGAGCTGTGACTGTGGTATGCAGAGAGGTGCATGTGACCCCTGAGGGACCGAGTCTGCCTCGTTTCACTGCTCAGTGTCGCAGGCGGTGTCAGTGACAGTGCACAAGGACGTGTTTTAGCCACGGGGATCGTCAGCCGTCTGCTGGCGTAAAATGCTACTGGTCTGCCGGGCTCAGTGAGGGGCAAGTGAAGGCAACGACTCAGAAGGAATCTCAGGGGGAGGGTAAAGGGCTGGTAACAGTTTGTAAATCTGAGCTGGGTTGTGTGCAGCAGGCTCAGGGTTTGAGGGCTGGCCAGGGCAGGCAGCTTCTGTTCCTTATGCCAGACCTGAACCCACGTTTTGCCTTAGCAAAGAGAAGACGTTAGACTCTGCGCTGTTCTGCTCCTGGGCTCTGTTCCCAGAGTGTCCTGGGGCAGGGCAGGGTACAGCGCTAGTGTGTGTGTCACTGGCATGTCGGGGTGATGCTGAAACAGGGCAGAGTTAAGGTTACATTGTGAGGTGACGTGAACCTTAACTCTGCATTTCCCCTTCTAAGAACCGAGGGGACGGGAATCCTTACCCAGCGAGGTCACATTCTCGTAGTTCTCCTGCATGACGGCTCTGTAGAGGGCTCTCTGAGCGGGGTCCAGCAGAGCCCACTCTTCCTTGGTGAAATACACAGCCACCTCCTCAAAGGTCACCGGCCCCTGAAAGACCAAGAGTCCCACACTCAGTACCTGCTGCCCCACTGACAGCCCCACTCTTCATGGGGCCAATCAAAGGGAGACACAGTCAGCAGAGACCCACCCACAAGCTGCTCAGAGCGTCCAGGAGGCATCAGGGTGAGGGGAGATAGAGAGAGAGTGACCCTCGTCCTTCCCAGCAGATGGAGGGGACAGGGGTCTTCACGTTCATCACACACCTTCTTGCCAGAGGCTGATACAGGAGAGGGAGCCCCCAGCGGGGTCCCAGGAGAGCCCCTCCTTGTAGAAATCCCAACACCCTCCCCGTTCTCAGCAGCTGGAGGTGAGAGGATGAGGGCATCTTCCCTAAGCCTCACTGGTGAGTGCCCCCTTCAGAGCAACCTCTGCTTAGTGGGGTCATGCTCCAGCACTGGGAGTCTAGGAAGTTTTCCCAACCCAGGCTGGTTTGTTCCCTGTCCCCCAAATAGGGGAATTTCCACACCAAATGATCTATTCCTAGAATCCAGGCCCCAGATTTAACACATCCCAGCCGGTTCATCACACCCGCTCCCGTTCACCACCCTGTGCACTGCCTGCACCCTCCCACCCTCAGATCAAACGCCCTGCTCGCTCCCGCTTCCCGTGTATTCCCTGTCCCTCTGGCTCCTGCGGGAACCCGCCAGCAATTTCCTCAGCATGCCTACCTGAGACCGCTTTGCCGCATCCATTTCCCTTCCCCGGGCAGGCTGGGAGAATCCGAGGGGACCCAGGGATGTTATTCTGCAGCCTGTCGGGGGGAGAAGGGTTATTGGGGGTGCGGGGGTTTTCAGAATAGACTTTAGGTCATTTCCCATCACACGTCTCACTGGCGCTTTCTCTGCAGAGACGTTCTAGGCCAGGGGTCAGCAACCTATGGCACGCGAGCCAAAGGTGGCACGGGGGCTGATTTTCAGTGGCACTCTGCTGCCGGCCCGGGGCTCCGTCTGTAAATGGCTTTCTGTTTTTTGCAATCTTGGAACTTCCTTCTGTAGCTTTGGCTGGAACACCTGGTCTAATCTCAGTTGCTGATGACTTATGACATGCAGGAGACCAGGCTAAATAAGCTGGTGGCCCCATCCGGCCGTGGACTCTCTGGCTTATCTGCCCCCATCACTGCGGTAGCTGAGCAGTTCACTATTTTTAAGTCACTGACCCTCCCAGCAGCCATGCGGGGCAGGGCAGCTGTTCTCATTATACAGAAGGGAAAACTAAGGCACAAAGGAGACATCCACACCATGATAGAAAACTCGCCGCACCAAGTCTCAGCCTGGGGCAGCGGACTCAGGCTTGCAGGGCTAAAATGAGCAATGTAGATGCTGCGAGACCCTTTCTGGGATCTCAGGGCCTGAGCATCGACATCACTCGTTTCAGCCCCGCGAGCTGGAGCCAGCTGCTGCCGGTTTATTGCAGCGCAGACATACCCAAACAGGCTGGGTGACTGGCCCAAGGTCGCACAGGAAGCCTGTAGCAGAGGAAGGCAGTGAGTTGTATGGGCCCGTGGTGCCCGGGCTCCAGGAATATTCAGGGCCCGGGGGACCAGCTCCACCAATGTTCAGAAAGGTTAACAACTGATCACTCCGAAGTCTGTGTGCAGCTTAAAGTATCCAAATACATGCCAGACATTGGAAAACTCAGCAAGGAAAAGCAAGGGCAAGGATCACACTAAACTGATAAGATCTGCATTTTAATTTAATTTTAAATGAAACTTCTGAAACATTTTAAAAACCTTATTTACTTTACATACAACAATAGTTCAGTTCTATATTATAGACTTATAGAAAGAGACCTTCTGAAAACGTTAACATGTATGACCACCCTGTACGCCCATGTAGAATACTCAAGGAGCTAATAGAGGAGGTATCTGAGCCTCTAGCTA